ATGTTCTAATACAAATTAATGCATAATAAGATACTACGCAGCCATGAATAAAAACTGGGGTAGATGTCAATATTCACCCATGTGCAACAACTCCAACATTTAAATATTAGAAGAAGATGTACAACAGGGTATATAATATGCTCTTACCCATGTTAAAACAAAAGACACATACGTTATACTGAACCAAATGAAAATGCCTTATTCTGACTTACAAAAATGGCAACTTCATCTGGTTCAAAGTAATAAGTGTTCACATAGGCATAAGATATTACAGAAATGCATAAGGATGTGAAGAAAGGGATTAGGGCAGGGGTCTCAGGTGGGCGAGAGTTTTCAGTTTATCCTTTTGTACTCTAACTTTTTATGATGTGTATTTGTCACTGTTTTTTAAAAAGGGGGTGCACCTCAAAGACTGATTAAGTAACTCCTTCCTTCAAAATCAAATTGAGCATTTTTTTTTTAAAAGCAAAATAGAGACCATACAAGTAAAGAACAGAGTGAGGAACAACTCATCAACCAATACACATACTAAAAATGCCCCACATACACTAAGATTTTTTAAAATTCTCACAAAAACATACAATTTACTTGATTTACACCTCAGACCTCAATTCAGAAACACACACACACACATAATCATTTAAAATCTAGCTGCCTGCTACTATTCACAAGTTGGGAGCTAATACCCATATAAGGGTATATCATATAAGGGTAGTTAAATACCAAAGGGTCAGAGTAAATACCAAGTTTTAAATTCTACACTCTTCCTAAGTAAATTTAAAATATCCAAGACTAAGCTTTCCCCTTTTCCAATTAAATTTCCTATTACACAGTTTATCCCATCCCACCAAAGAATTCAAATTTCCACACACAAGTCCCACTGAGAATGAATTAAACAGTAACCCTAATCATCTACTTTGTATAACTATTGCAACCACAGAGGCTACAGATGCCTGATTGCTTTTTCTAGATTCTGCTCTAATCTGAAAATTTCAAATTACCTCAATTAAAAGCATCACTCTAAGATGCCCTCGACCTCTCAAATTCTATTTTAAAAGTGGACTTATAGAAGACCAGAAGATAACGGACATCTCATCCTAAGCCAGGCACTCTGGGATACACTGCACACATGCTCAGCGTGAAGGACTGGCAGGAACGAGCTTGAGTCCACCCTCCCCTCCCTCGCCCCAGCCCCGTTCTGTGGGTTTCCTGGAGTCGCACACCTCCAGAGAACGCTAAGGGTTCTGACTGGCTCTGGGCCTCACCTATATCCACCCAAAGGTGGTCAGATTTACAAACTGACTACTTGGCATTAAAACCTCCACCACCACGCTGACCATTTCTGAATGAAACATATTCCCCACAAATACCTCACCTCGGGCTCCCAGCCTTAAAATATTTTTATTTCTTCCCTTTCAAGATTATTTTTCACTTACTTTATCCTAATGCTTGGTGTTTCTTTTCATCTTATGCACACTATTACACTTTGTATCAGATATACATAAAAGTATAGAGAATAACATTAACATAAACAATACCGTGTACCAGCTTAGCAAGACCTTAACATTTTGCCATATTTACTTCAGATCTTTTTGCCAGGTTTGTTACAGGTGACACCCATTGTGAACCATCTTTCCCAGCTCCAATCCCTTTTCCTCCCTCCCTCCCCAGAGACAGCCACTCCATTGGCATTTTAACATGCCCATGCACTTCAAAAACACTGTTACTACATACTATGTATTAATTATGTGTATGCATATCATTGCACATTTCAAAACATCATATAAATGGCATCATACCGTACAAATCATTCTGCAACTTGCTTTTTCACTCAACATTGCATTCATTTTAAGTGCTGCACAGAATTCCATTGTATGAATATACCATAATTCATTTTATCCATTCCCCTACAGATGGACTTTTAGGTTGCTTCCATTTCTTTACTCTTAACCACAACGCTCTAGTGAAGGCTTGCACACATCTTCTCGGGTAGCCCAGAAGTGGGCAGGAGAATACACGTCTTCACCTTGCCACACGGCTCTCCACAGTGACTGCACGGATTTATACATTTCTCCCGCCGAGTATGAAAGTTTCCTTTGTTCCACGTCCTCTCAAACACTTGGTGTTATGAGGTTTTAAAATGTTTGCCAATCTGATGGGTACGAAAGAGAGACTCACAGTTTTTAATATGCATGTTCTGTAAGGATAATCATGTTTATTGACTATTTAGACCATTATTTTAATTTTTTTCAACTTTCACATTGCGGTTTGAACCTGTGCATGGTGATTCATCGTAGAGACTGTGCACCCACCTGGGTTCACACCCACCCAGTGAGTGGCTGAGGACGCTGCCTGACCGCCTGGGCCTCAGGTCCCTCATCTAGAAAGACACAGCAGCGCCCATCTCACAGGGCTGGGAGTGTTTTATGAGTTAACACAGGAAAACACTCAGAACAGTGCCAGGGAGGCTGGATGCTTCACCCTCAGCTGCTTGCCCAGATTCCCATGACAGATCCACCAGCCCTCAGAGACGAGGGCTTCAACACCTCTCAATCCTGGTAACTCAGCTAAACCGCATGGGTCATCCTGGGTCAAGGGCACATCTGAATCACTGGCAGTGTGTTCTTTTCTGAAGTCATATCATCTACTCACTTGATAAGGAGTTACATGCATTGCAGATTCAGGAAACATTATCCCTCCATTATTGAGCAAGTCATGTAAACAGTGAACAAGGTGGGAAACACCAGTAAAACCAGGGTGGCATCATGCTTCTGACATTAAACAAGCATCCAGCACATCCTGGTGACTGCCTAACAAGAAAATGCTGCTGACCTGCCTCTACAGGAAACTGCTATGGTGTTGACCCACAAAGTTAGACCGTCAGCTGGGAGGTACAAGGATGGATGCACAACCCTACTCTTGACTTTGACCTCACCAGGCTACCCGGCTTCTGTATTTTTGCTTTGATGCACCTCCTTCAGAGCAGTTTTAGCAGGCTCCTGCTTGAGTGTCTAGCATTCAACACTCATAAAAGAAGGCAGAAACCCCTCATTTGCCTCTCAGCTCCAAGGGATCCCCTGTGCAGAGGGGATGACCTTCAACCCACTCAAAAGTTTCACACAGGTGCCTCAATTTTCACAAGAGGCTAGTCAAGCTGCCAACCTGTTCACCTTGAGAGCACACAGAATGGCCTTCAAACAGCACAGGATATCTGCAAGTCTGGACCTAGCCAGAGGCAGTAATCTAAAGACATGTGCAGCCCATTTCTTGCCAGAACCAGTTGAGGACAGTGGTACTGATGGAAGACTGTCAAGCCCATCCATTCCTCTAGACTAGATAGCCTCGGTTATCCACGGCTTAAGCCATCTAAAAGCTGCATAACGTTTATACAGCAGTATTCTCCGAGGTGGTGATTTTTTATTTTCTTCTTTTTAAACTCTTGTATTTTCCAAATTTTCTACCATGAGAAAGTGTTCTGTTTATAATAAAAGAAAAACATAAATGTTATTTTTGAAAACTGTATACCTGGAATACACCATACTCCCCACTCCCACCTCCCACACTCCAACATTAAGTACTCTCCCTGAAAAACAACTGGTAGCAGACTCTCTGCTCTTATAAGAACACTTAATTTGAAAAACTATTGATGAAAACCAAAACTGCACTCTCAGGGTGTGCTTATTTTGCTCTCAACAGGAATGCTGCTGAGATTGTTCTCTACCCCACCATTCAGTTCCTATTACTTGTAAGCCATGTAAGAAACTTCTTCCGGAACTAAACATCAGGAAAACAGTTTCACCTGAGAAACTGGTGTCCTCTTTCTTCATGGATAGTGAGAATTCTATAACTTGCCAGGTATTCTTTGTATTTTGGACAACAGAAAGGCAAGATGCAAATAGGAATTATAACTAATAACCAAGCAGGACCTTACACCTACGCAACTTTATTCTGAGGATCCCAGACTCTAACATGGTTTTTTATAGTTTGTTTCTAGTATTTTTCTACTGAGTGGATGTATTCCTGAAGCAATCCTGTAACACACAGTTAAATGTAACAGTCTACAGTGCTCAATATTCATGCTTAATATTTAAGTCCTAAAAACTGTAAGCTGAGAGATAATAAAATCATGGGGGCACTGTCAATAATCTTTCTCAACTAATAAATACAAGCTCAGTTCAACATGAGGAACTAAGAATTAACTACAATTTTACTCCCATAGTTAAATCATTAAACTTTTCTTTCCCTTACAAAGGACATTTACTTAAGTTTTATTCATACTAATACAGAGGAAACAAACACAGCAAGAATTCTTCCAGAACCATACAGATTAGCTAAGAGCAAAAGAAGGTAATATATTATAGGTGTTATAAACATAGACCATGCACCATCAGATAAGAGCTGTGTTTGAATCTTAGCATCACTACATCACAGCTTGAACAAAAATGGAGCAGGGTAGAACGAAATTCACAATTACTAATGGGATGAGTTTATTCACATGTAAAATATAGAAAATAACATTATCTACCTATTAAATACACCAAGTCACTCAGTTGTGTCTGACTCTCTGCAACCCCATGGACTGTAGTCTGCCAGGCTCCTCTGTCCATAGGATTTCCCAGGTGAAAATACTGGAGTGGGTTGCCATTTCCTCCTCCAGGGGATCTTCCCAGCCCAGGGATCAAACCTACATCTCCTGCAGTGGCAGGCAGATTCTTTACCACTGAGCTACCTGGGAAGCCCTATTAAATGTGCTGTTGAGAATTAAATAATCTACATGAAGTGCTTAAAATAATGCAAAGCATATGCTATCCTCTCTATTAAAAAATCACTGTTTCTGTCATTGCTGTTATTATATATAAAGCCTACAGAGCTCTCTTTTAACCATTTAACTATTTCTGCCAAAGAACTACTGAAGGATTTTCTTGCATAACTGCAAATAGAAACATTTCTCAAAGATAGGTATTTAGCATAACAGCTGAGTGATTAGGTACTCTACTTACCTGAATTGTCCAGTACGAAGAAAACAAAGAGCTCGGTTACCGTAAAGCAGGTGATTTTCAGGCCTTTAAAAAAAATAGTGTTTCATCAGTAAAGAACATTACATTTAAAACAAAAACACAGAAATCATAAGGCAAGAAAAAATTTTCAAAACCTTCATATCTGTTTGGCAAAGCAGAAATGAATATAGGATTTGGAGTCCTAACTGGCTAAGTCCTGGTTCCTTCACTTTCTGAGGGGCTTGTTCAAATCAACTCAACTTCTCTGTATTCAAAATGAAGACTAAAAGTTCTACTTTTTCTGTTGCACTCATGGGGCTGCTGAGAGGATCAAATGAGACATTAAAAAGCTAGCAAACTACAAGCATGTTGTTACTGCAGAGAACAGAACAATTTTATGTAAGTCAGAACCGTAGCACCTTGACAAAGGACATCTGTAAACTACAACAGTAATTTACATAGCATGACTTCAAGCTTTGTCCCATGTGGTTTTATCTTACTCCACCTATCTTATCTCCACCTCTTCCTAGAACAGACAGGCAAACTTTCAGATGTGGTTTGCTACCTGGATTCACTCATTCCCTGTGGAGATGGGGACATCTGGAAAGAGAGCAGCTGTCTACATCACACCCTCCTAAGGCAGCTACAGCATTAGGTGGTCCAGCAAAGATGTTGGTAAGAACCAAGTGAGGCACACGTGTAAGAATGTTACAAAATTCTAGCAGCTGGGCAAATAGAAGATGAGGTAGAACACATGTATTCTCTCAACAATTCCAACTCTTATCCTTTAGAAGTTTCCTTACAGAAAGCACAAATTCCTGAATGGGTGACATCTAGTAACTAATTAGTTAACTAATTAGTAAAGAATTGGTAACTAATTCTTTCTTATCAATCAATAATTTGGAAGGAATTAGAAGAAGGGAACATGAGTCCAAGAAAACACAGATGACTCTGTACTGGAAAGCCTGGGAACAAATGGGCAGGAAAGAAAATACACAATTTCGCCTAACGGGCTTAAGTTCTATAACTTAAGTTCATTTATTCAGTTCATCTCATGTTTCTTACATCTACAGGTGAGAAAACATTCTGCATAGCAAACTGAAGATACTCTCCAGTTCCTCATCTTTTGTTTCTTTCATACTGACTACTAGCATTCTAACGTGATCTGCCACATAGAAAGCATCTCAGTACTCCATTTTGCTCTTACCTACATTCAATGGCTCTGGTATAATAGATAATAGCTACATCATATCTTTCTTTGGAAAACTCTTCATTTCCTTTCATTTTCATTAGTTCTCCTTGCTGAGAAATCAAAGTAAAAGAAGATTCATCAGTTACATTAAAAAAGAATCAGGAACCCAAAAACCTAGGGAAAATGGTTCTGGGTTTTTAATCTTAGATATCAAAAATAATCTGGGGGATTACTTATGTAGAAAATGAGAATTCAATACCCAATATTTTGGCATACACATTTAAAGAAGCCTGTCTCTAATGACTCAGGGCTAACTTTGTTAAAAGGAATATTAAAAAGTAAACAAAACATTATGAATAGTATGAACAATTAATCCCCTGTGTACCATATTTGGCAGGTCCACTTTTAAATATACATTATGCCTGCATAGCAGGAAAAAAAATAGATTCAATGCAGAATTTTAATTTTAGGCTAGAAAATGTGATACTATTCAATAAACTTGGGTGCTTAAAAAATATATACATCAATAATATATAGGAAATGTTGATTAGACTAATTGCCCCTCAAAAAATGAGGTGACAAAGTTAGCAAAGATGAAATAAAAACAAAACACAGGAAAAAAAGGCATGAAATCAAATATGCTGTAACGAAACTTCAACTCAAACATTCATATTTTCAAAATAAACCGACTATTATTTACTGGATTATGTCAATGACTTTATCTAGAGAGTTAAACAGAAAAGTAATTTCCTAAATCCTTTTCTAAAAATTTAGTTGTTAAAATCTTATTTCCTATGAGTAAATTGTATATCATATGAATTACAAGTCAATAAAGCTGATCCCAAAGAAAATCATACTCTCTCAATTAATTAAAAGCCTTTTAAATTAAATTTTAAAAAATCAAGCTTCAATTTTCAATTAACTCTTTTAAAATCTTTAATATAAAATTCTGGGACTTCTCTGGTTGTCCAGAGGTTGGGAATCCACCTCGCAACGCAGGGAACACTGGTTAGTTCCTGGTCCGGGAAGATGCCATGTGCCTAGGGGCAACCAAGCCCGTGTGCCACAACGACTGAGCCTGCGCTCCACAGCCTGTGAACCACAACTACCGAAGTCCACCCGCTGCCAACCACTGAAGCCTGCACACCCTCTGTGTGCTTTAGACAGGCACTGAAGCTGGTGGTTTGCAATGAGAAGCCCGCTCGCCACAACCATAGAAAGCCCACGCAGCAACCAGTGCAGCCTAAATTATAAATTAAAATTTTAAAAATTAAAAAATTCTTATCAAGATGTTTTCCTCTTCCAAAAACAATTCCAATCAAAATTTATTTAAAATTTCTCTCAAATATGTTACCAAATTCTACAGTAGTTCTTATATTCAGATGTGCTGTGTGCTTAGTCGCTCAGTTGTGTCCGACTCTTTGCGACCCTGTGGACTGTAGACTGCCAGGATCCTCTGTCCATGGGATTCTCCAGGCAAGAATACTGGAATGGATTGTCATGCCCTCCCTCCAGGGGATCTTCCCAACCCAGGGATCGAACCCAGGTCTCTCACATTGCAGGCGGATTCTTTACCATCTGAGCCAATACTGAACTTTCCCCTGAATATTAATAAAAGTTCTAACAAGCAAATCTCAAAATATACTTACAAATAAATATTTATTCTCACCTCTAGACACTCCGCACAACTTTGAGTTTTAAATTCTTCAAGCAAACTGCAGTTTTCTGTTACAACTTTAGTTATGTGATACTTGTCTAAATGTTATTTTTAGGAGAGAGTGAGAAAAAATTTATTAAAAAAAAATTGATACTGTTAATGTTCTCACTCTTAGGCTAGATAGGTGAGTCTGTGAAGTTAAACAACTGATAAAATGTTTCAGAAAACATTAGATTCATGGCAAGCCATGAATCTAATCGGTCTTATTTCTAGCTTATTATTACTCTAGTTCTAACTGTAGTTAAAAGTGCTCTGTAGTAACACATTCCAATCAGGCCTCATAATTACTCGTCAATTTAATAACACTGAGCTACAGTTTACCCAGAACAAAGTTCAACTAAAATTTCTGAAAAAAAAAAAAAACCTGGGAAACTACTTTCTAAAATATATTTAGTATAAAAAATAATTTTAAATGTCTTATTTCAACATTATAACTCTCAAGTCAAAATCAGACTTTTTTTGAAATGTTCTCATAAAAATGTAATAAACTAATTCAAATGCAGCAGGTAATAACCAAAATTTATGTTAAAAGTTTACGAGACCTCCTTTTCTATATTTTAAGCTGTTCTATAAAAGATTTTATTAATAAGTGGTAAATAATAATTTTATTGCAACAGAACTGTAGTTATGCCTCCAGCCAAACATATTCATTTCCAAGGCAAAAGTAGTACCTAAAATTTAACACTGAAGAATTTCAGAAGATGATGGGGACAGAATAAGATTACAGAACAAAAACCTGAACTTTGGGATCAGAGAGACCTAACTTCTTATCTAGGTTCTACTACTTAACAGATGAAAGAAGTATCATTTAACCTCTCAAAGTTTGCTCATTTCTAAAATAGGATCACAGCAGCTACCTTGCAGGGCTATTATAAAGAAGAAAGAACAGAGAGTTAGAAACAAGCCCACACAGATGCCCAGTACATGATACTGGTCGTCTAATTTCACCATAAAATCTAGTCTATAATTAAAGGCTTCCAAAACAACAAAGAGAACCACCTCTACTCATGTAATACAGCCCAGCATCTAATAAATATCAGGAAAAGACCCTGATGCTGGGAAAGATTGAGGGCAGGAGGAGAAGGGGACGACAGAGGATGAGATGGTTGGATGGCATCACTGACTCAATGGACATGGGTTTGGGTAAACTCGGGGAGTTGGTGATGGACAGAGGCGCCTGGCGTGCTGTGGTTCATGGGGTCGCGAAGAGTCAGACACGACTGAGAGACTGAACTGAAACCTGTCTTCATATTTAAGCTTAATTTCTAACACCCAGGTCAAGAGTACAAAGTATGCCCTCTACTCAGTGGAAATGGCAAATAATCAGTCACCATCAACTAAAGAATCAAATACTTCCTGTTTCAAGATCCCTATAAAAACACTGCTAACATTCAAATGCTTTAGAGAAAAATAGTTCACAAGGTAAAAAATATATAAGGCAGTTTCATCATACATGAAAGTAACAGATTCATCAGAAAAATGAAAATTATGGTTTTAGCTCAGTTATTTATTTCTCTTATGAATGAGAATACATGAATCCCAGGGTGGACTCTTTCTTTGGATATTATATATATGAACTCATGGCATCCATTTGGTAGGATGTTTAAAAAAATATATAGTCACACAAATCATCAATACAGGAAATACAGAATAAAATTAACTACAGGGTTAAAGTTCTCTTATTCAGTCTTTTCCCTTATGCACAAGAGAAAAAAAATTTTTTGAATCCTGAGATAAACACGAAATCACATAGCCATGCATTCTACCTTCCAAAATAATACCTTTATAAAACTAAGTAACAATTTACAGCATTTATACTTACATTCAGTAAAGAAAATACTTAACATACGCCAACAATTGTCAACTGCTCCTAATTTAGATAAAATTGTTACATCGCCTGTGTATTTCACCCAATTCAAAGCTTCTTCCATTGCCAAGATTTTCTGTTTCAAAAAGAGGGGTGAAAATGTGATTTATGTATTAATTATAAGTTTACATGTGGCATTATAAATTTCTCTTATATAGCATTTCAGATTTTTAATAAAAACTTGGAAAACTTCATATTTTCATTACTCTGGCATGCAACCTAGAACAGCTAGACACCAGTGCACAAGTTAACAGAGACTATAGACTCACATATGTTACATCTTCATGGAACCTCAGGCTACCCTCAAAGCTCAAAATGCTGCTGCAGTGATTACAGAACAAGAAGCTGAGGTCTACAACCTGGCCAGAGGCTGCCCTGGGGAGCGGGAGAGTCCAATAACCAAGGTGAACGAGGGTTCTCAGGTCTCATCTACACTAGGACTTCCATCCTTATCTCAAAAGTGAAGGTACAGGTTAAGGTTAACAGAAAGTACTATGTATTTTAAATGGCCTGTGGCAGAGAGAAGAATAAGCATATACACACAAGAGGAGTGCACGGCTGGACAAGTGAGCGCTCAGTGCAATGACCTTCATCAAGGGTCAAGGGTTCACAGGAATGTTATCATACTTCTAACGTCTGAAAAGACTTCAGAAACAGTGGCATTATCAATGCTGGTGTCCGGCTTAAGGGAAACATGTATCTGTCAGAAATTCCCTGGCAGTTCATTGGTTAGGACTCTGCAGCCTCACTGCTGAGGGCCCAAGTTCAATCCCTGGCCGAGCAACCAAGATTCCACAAAGTGAGATTATCCAGTAATCATATACCAAAACATGTTCACATGAGGGACCTAGTAATTTCATTTAGGAGAGAATATATGCCAGGTAAATAAAAGAGAAAAAACAATCAAATTGCAAAAAAAACCCCACAAAACTCAAAGTCACATTGCATATATGGGGGAAAAAATGAAAATGATACAAACCACCCAAATAAGGAGACTGCCTAGGCAAAATATAGAAATCCATATGACTAAATGCTACATAGGAATAACTGCCACTTATTCACAGTGCTGGATTCTCATGTTGACACTTACATTCTCTATTTTATAGCCGATTCTCAATAAGCCTCCGATAAAGAATGTATCATTCTGCAAAACAGAAAAAAAACATTTTTTTCTTTATTTGGCCAATTATACTTTAATTTTCTAGTGAATAAAAAAATTCTACATTTTAAGAATACTACTGTATGTACCGGACTTCCCAGGTGGCTCAGTGGTACTGAATCTGCCTGCCAAGCAAGAGATCCCTGAGTCGGGCAGATCCCCTGGAGAAGGAAATGGCAACCCACTCCAGTATTCTTGCCTGGGAAATCCCATGGACAGAGGAGCCTGCTGGGCTACAGTCCACTGGATCACAAACAGTTGGACACGACTGAACAACTAAAAACCACCGTATGTACTCAGTAGTCCACTTCCCAGAGCAGTATCATGCCAACTGACCAAGATCTTAAAGACTCTGAATCAAGTCAGAAATAGTTTTTTTAAAAAATATATATTTATTTATTTGTTTGGCTGTGCCAGCTCTTAGTTATAGCACAGGAACCCTTAGTTGCAGCATGTGGGGTCTATTTCCCCGACCAGGGACTGAACGCAGGCCCCCGGCACTGGGAGCTTGTAGTCTTAGCCACCAGATCACCAGGGGAGGCCCCAGAAATAGTCTTTCACAGGGTTCTAATAATAAAATGATTTAGTGTAACTTTTAGATGTACTGAGTTTAAAGTTCATTACACCTAAAAATCTTTTTATAAAATTCATTGGCTTATATAAATTATTTCAAAGGATTATCTATAGGAAATAAATATCAGAATGCCCTTTCTAAATTTAAGTTTGCAATCAGAATTTGCAAGAAAAACACTTGGCCCCATAACCAAATGAAATAAAAGTTATTAATGGCTTTCAAGGAAAAAAAAAAAAACCTTTCAGCATAGTACACAGATAACTCCTCAAATCTGACATGATAAAATTAATCCCAAAGAAAAAATATTTGTTGTGGTGGTGGTGACAATGACATGATTTTATAAGAAAGAACCTGTCACTTTCAGAACCTGTGACAAAGGTTTCTGTGAACCAGGAGCACACTCTCATTTGTGACAAATTCTAATTTCTATTCTTTAAAGATATGGAGCCAGCCTGGTTCTCATCATGTCACTTCAGAACCATGGAAACAGCCATCTACCTAACCTCTGAAATACACAGCACGAACTCATGCATAGCAGAATAAGCTCAGGTTGTGCTATGCTGTGCTTAGCAGCTCAGTCATGTCTGACTCTTTGCAACCTTCATGAACTGCCTCACGCCAGGCTTCCCTGTCCTTTGCCATCTCCCGGATTTGTTCAGACTCATGTCCATTGAATGAGTGATACCATCCAACCATCTCATCCTCTGTCATCCCCTTCTCTTCTTCCCTGAATCTTTCCTAACATCAGGGTCTTTTCTAATGAGTCAGTTCTTTGTATCAGGTGGCCAAATATCAGAGCTTCAGCTTCAGCACCAGTCCTTCCAATGAATATTCAGGATTGATTTCCTTTAGGACGGACTGGTTGGATCTCCTTGCAGTCCAAGGGACTCTCAAGAGTCTTCTCCAACATCACTGTTTGAAAGCATCAGTTCTTCGGCGCTCAGTCTTCTTTATGGTCCAACTTCCACATCTGTACATGACTACTGGAAAAACCACAGCTTTGACTGTATGGACCTTTGTTAGCAAAGTGATGTCTCTGCTTTTTAATACACTGTCTATGTATGTCATAGCTATTCTTCCAAGGAGCAAGCGTCTTTTAAGTTTGTGGCTGCAGTCACCTGGTAGCCCATACATGGCAGCTATTACTATTATTTCCTTTCATGGAAAAGGGTCAAAGATTTTCTAAATGTATTTCTATATAAATAGATAAATTGAAAAAATGGCAGAAAGGTTATGTCCTAAAGCAGTGGTATGTAAACTCTGAAACAGATCAGAACCATCCAAAAATAAAAGTGATCAAGCTTCAACTTCTGAGGCTGATTTTGTGGATAGTCACTCAGTTGTGTCTGACTCTTTGCCACCCCCTGGACTGCATCCAGGCCTCCCTGTCCATCACCAACTCCCGGAGTTTACTCAAACTCATGTCCATTGAGTCAGTGATGCCATCCAACCATCTCATCCCCTGTTGTCCCCTTCTCCTGCCTTCAATCGTCCCCAGCATCAGGGTCTTTTCCAGTGAGTCAGTTCTTCACATCAGGTGGCCAAAGTATTGGAGCTTCAGCATCAGTCCTTCCAATGAATATTCAGGACTGATTCCCTTTAGGATGGACTGGCTGGATCTCCTTGCAGTCCAAGGGACTCTCAAGAGTCTTCTCCAACACCACAGTTCAAAAGCATCAATTCTTCAGCACTCAGCTTTCTTTATGGTCCAACTCTGACATTCATACATGACTACTGGAAAAACCATAGCTTTGACTATAGGGACCTCTGTCGGCAAAGTAAGCTCAGGTTAACCAAAACTAAAACCATTCCTATTAGCCAAGATAAATTAGTAGCATGGGCCTGCTACCATATAAATATGTATACTCCAGAAACAGGGGGGTGGGATATACATTCTATCACTTACCACAACTTTCTTTGCCAAATCCACAATATCTTCCATCAGCTCAAGATGCTGTAATTTCTTCAAACTTATCTCACAAGCAAGAGAACCGCTTAAAGACAAATTTATTTTTTAAAAGATTATGTTTTCATATATAAAAATTCATTGAATTTTATACTTGACTGACTGTATGTTTTACCTCAATTTAAACTATTGGAATAAAAATTTTGTTTCTTTCCTCTAGGTAATAACAAGCTATTTATTAAGCAGACAAAACATTACACCTTTTTCTTTCTTCTGTACTATAATGCTGATATTTATAAACAAGTATATTATTTCTTCCTTAATCTAATGCTCTTCAATTTCATTATGTCACCAAGATTATTCATTCATATGCAAATCCCAATATTAACTTCTTCCACTCTATTAAACAAAAGTAGAGTTGAACATTATATAAGAATGAGATATAAGCCTTCCATCGTACTGGCATCCCTTAGTGGTAAGGCAACACGCTTACCGCTGTTCATTTAGAAGGGTTTACCAGACAGTAACTCACCTGGTCCTTACACAGGGGTGCATTCGTGTTATTATAGAGCTCTGCTGACGCTGAAACAGAAGTGGCCAGAAGATGTGGACTTTAATGGCGTCACAGTAATCTTGCAGGACAGAAACAGGTTTACTACACCACATAGTGCAGATGTCAAATTCTTAATCAAAAAAGAAGTTTTAAATTAGTATTTTGTGCCTTGTTTTGGAATGAATCAACAACGTTAATGGAAAAGACAAAAATGGATATGGAAAGGTATGAAATGAATGGATAAAATATCTGAATCTGTCGGATGTTAAGAATATCTAAATGTTACCTAAAACTATTTAACAAAGGGTTTTTTAATTTCTAGTGAAAAAGAACAGCAAAGAATAAATTCTCTTAAAGATATATGTCTATTATGTTGATGTGAATGCATGAACATTCTGTAGAAGCTGTTTCAACAAAATTAAAATATCAGTGTACTCACCTAAGTTTCCCTCAGTATGGGTATAATCTTTGTACTGTCTACCCTAAAAAGGAAAAGAATTCTTTTGATTTGTATCTGGTAAAACGCAGAAGTACAGTTCTAGATTTCTTTAAACCTTATTTATTCACTTTTGGTTGCGCTGGGTCTCCATGCTGCACGCATACTTTTCTCTTTTTTTTTTTTGCATACTTTTCTCTAATTGTGGTGTACAGGTTTTTCTTCACAGCGGCTTCTCTGGCAGAGCACAGACTCTAGGGTGCCCAGGCTTCAGTAGTTGCGGCATGCGGGCTTAGCTGCCCCACAGCAGGTGAGATCTTCCCGGAACAGGGATTGAACCCATGTCCCCTGCACTGGCAAGTGGACTCTTTAACTACTGGACCACCAGGGAAGTCCCCAGTTCTTGATGTAAGGGTAATCAGTACTAAACTAAAAACCTTTCGGTACATTTACTTACACAATTTGAACACATCTTCAACCGATGTGTCTTTCAGCCTTTTTTCAGTGTTTCCCCCGGTCTGTTTCTATGGGTCTCCCCTGAGAGCCTTGCTCAGCTCCAGCCAGAAAGCAAGCTTTTAGCAGCACTGCACCTGCTCCCTGGTGAGGCACTGCCTACTCTCCTGTCTGAAATGACCTCTGCAAAAACTATACATACCTCCCTGTAAAATTTCAAGTAGCACATGAAGGTTCTCACAAGAACAAAATAAAATGTATAACTATGTGTAGTGATGGACGTTAACTGAACTTACTGTGTTGATCTCACAATATATACATATGTTGAATCATGTTGTACATCTGAAACTAATGTCATGTCAATTATATCTCAATTTAAAAAAAACAACTTTAAGAAGACATCATATTAAAAACAAAAAGTTAAGGGAACTTCCCTGACAGTCCAGTGGTTAAGACTGTACATCCAATGCAGAGGTCATGTGTTCAATACCTGATCGGGGAACTAAGGTCCAGCATGTGGTGCGGTGCGGCCAAGAAAAAAAAAAGTTAAGAAATCTACTTACCACTCCATCACAGTAAAGCTGAGTCACACGAACATAATCATTGGACATAAACTCAGGGGCAAAGACACAATCGTCCACATAAGGGCCATCTTCTAACAAGGCATAATCTGCTACCGCAAAATTTCCCCGGGCAAAATCAGCCATAGTACACCACCCTGAGGACACAACACAAACCCAAATCAACAATGAAACCATCTGAGATGCCATGAGAAGCAGTTTCCTGACTTCTATGGTATGTTTGATAAATACTGGGAACTTATGCCCCCAGGAAGCAACTCTGAGAACACTGAGCTCTGGAAGAGTCTCATCCTCATTTGCTAATCTCTCCCCTGACTCTCTTCAACCATCATTTTAATCTATTTCTTTTCTTTAGGTTCAAAGAGTCATCATCTCTGAATTTAACTCTTTACATGTCTCTTTTAGATGGAAGATAATTAAGGGCAGCTTATTTCATCTTTGTATGCTCCCAGCCTGTGCTAAGCCCTCAAATAATGAGTTCAATAAGCGAACAAGACATCTTTCCACTGCTGCCCTTTAACTCCATCTGCTTTTACTGCATCTGTGAAATTCGCCATTTCATCATTCACAAACTCTGCCACATTCTCCACCTCCTGGCTAGAACTAAACCTTGATCCACTGAAAGAAAGGTTTCTTATCCAGACCTCACTGTGTGTTTCTGTCCTGGGCACAGGGGCAGAGCTGAAGCGGCACAGGGAGAGCGTGGCCACCTCTTAATTCCTACAGCCGCATCCAGACCTTCCCAGCACTCGCTGCTCCTAATTCTCTTAACTACTGCAACGCAGGTCAGCACTGCTAGACAGAAACAGTGGGCAAACCCCTCACGTTACCAACAACCACATTTTAAAAATAACTATTTCAATGGGGGGACAAGGGGCTGGAGTTGCAGACTCAAGTTTTATTTTTTCCTGAAGAAACTTCAGTCATAACATGGTATAGCTGTCAGAGAACAGGTACAAAATCTATCACTTTAAAGAACTCAGCATTTTATTACTTCTAACTCTTCTCCAAGATGACTCTGCTTTCCTAGCATCACCAGCACCATTATTAACAGCGCTTTTTAAACCTTTTCACTTCACCACTTTTCACTTTTTAAACCTTTTCACTTCACCTTTTCACTTCACCACTACTATTGTTAGGATAAACCAAGTTTGTTTTTTCCTAACCAAGACAACCATCAGCCCTTGGAAAACACATCTGTTTCTTTAATTAATCCTTCTCATGTTCCACTTGCTGTACAACCACCTCACAGTATCGGAAGTGAAGAACAATAACCACCTTCGTAGCAAACTGTTGGTACCATTTGTCACATGACATGCCAAGCGTTTTGCGTGTACCATCTCATCAATAGTCACAGCAACTCTCTGCAGGTACAATTATCACCACCGTCACTGTACAGATGAAAACATTCACAGCAAAACTAATCTGCTCAAGATCACCAAGCTTGGGGGGATTCAAACTTAGGTCTTCGGAGTCCTCGGTCTCCTCTCAAATGCTGTATTGCACTAGATCTACATTTCCTTGTCATGGATCTCGCTGCCTCCTGGCTGCTGTGGTGTTAAAGAACACCGGCGACTAGCTCACGGTGCTCCCTCTCTCCTCCGGTCATCATTTCCGTTACACTAAGGCGGGCACGGACAGCCCTTCAGGACCCAACCCTTGCAGTGCAGGCACCTCCTCAAGTACACTTTGCTGCCCTCCTCACCTAGGCTCTTCGGTCACAGGCCGTATCTTGGATCACTGCCCAAGTCTAAACCAGTTTTTAAATCTGTAACTCTGACCAGCTCCTTGCTGACCACAGCCAAGAGTCATCACGGCTCAGGTCTCCCCGGTCTCCTACCACAGACGTTCTTCACCTTCATCACGAATGCTTTTATTCCTCCTGTTCAAATCCTCCATTCTCCTTCATTTTCAGTTTCCTAATGTTGGGCTTCCACTTCCACCATTCAAGGGAAGTGCTTTAGTGAAGTCGTTACTGATCTTTTCCAGTAGACTGGATAACTACAATGTCTGGAACCTTCTGACCTGTTCTGGGTGACCAGTATTTCCCATTTAGCGAATTTAACTCCAAAAGTAAACAATGACTGAAAAAAATAAAAAGTCATTTTAGCACCCAAAGTATGGCACATGATATGGGACACATGCTATTCTGGGAAATACATACACGTTTAAACTCATTTTTCTTCACAAGTGTTTTCTGTATATAAATACAGAAAGAGCCAAGAACTGTCTGTCACAGCCCACACATCACCATCACAGCATCGGATACAATACAATTAATGTGCTCATATGTGGCAGACTGAGCCACTGTGACACCATACTGGTCATTCCCAGGCTGGCATAACTCACTGATACCATGCCCTACACCAACCGCACCGTCATTACACTGTAACTGGTCTTATTGTTATTTTCTATTCTGTTTTAACCAGAGAGGCAATGCGGCATAGTGGTTAACAGCATGGACTCTGGAACCAGGCTGCCTGGGCTTGAATCCTGGCTCTCCCATTTCTTGTGTGTGTGATCTGGGACGAGTTACTTAACTTCTTGAGGTGTCTGTTTCCTCATTTATTAAATGAGGACAGCAATACTACCCATTTGATTAATCGGTTAACATGTGTCAAGTACGTTTACTAGCATGTGACGTATAGGGAATGCTATGAACATCAGCTATGACTAACAAGCTAGATGAGTATTTTTTAATCCACCATTTGGATGCCTTCAACTAAATGGTCTCCCTTAACAGCTACGTCCAAAAGCACTTTTCAGCTTACAACTTACTTGGCGCTGTGGACCACTTCCTCCTCAGAACTCTTCATCTGGACTCCAAAGACCATCTTCTCCTGGTCCTCCTCCTATTCTTCTGGCTGCTCTTCCTCAGTCTCCATGGGCGCTTCTTCTCCATTCCCCGCCACCCAAAGGTCAACTCTCTCTTCTTCTCATGCTTACTCTCTCCACACCCATGGCTTACAACAGCGCTTTCTGAACTTTCATTATGTGCATAGCTTCACCACAATTTTTGCCATTTCCACAGGTCACATGTATTTTATTTTCTTAGTATTCCTTTTTTATTGGGCTCATTTGGCCTAAGTGATAACACCCGTGATATTGTAAGTTTGAAGTACAGCTTATGTTTTTCAGACACATTAGCATATATTCCTAACTATTAAAAAATTCTTTATCTATGTACTACTTTAAACTGTCTCATAACCCACTGTAGCAAACCATGACTAAAAATGCGGTTAAGACTCTCAAATCTCTCCAGGCTGGGTTACAACTCATAGACTTCTAGACTCTCCCTGTCATCCGCTACTGGATCTTAACCAAGATGTCCCATAAGCCTCTCAGATTCAGTGAGTTCAAAATCAAACATCCTTTTCCTCAAGAACAAATGAAACCAAATTCTTTTCTCTTTATGTTACCAGTAAACTGCTCTACATGCCACCTGGTTACCAAATTTGGAGGTCAATCTAGACTCCCCAGTCTCCTTCAACATTTCTAACCAAAGTGACCACGAAGTCCTGTCATTTCAACTCCTCTAGGAAACTCAAATTGGCACGCGTACAACTCTTCATACCCGGGGCCACTGCCCTGGCTGCGGCTTCATCTCATCTCCTCTGAACTACTTGAACAAGCAGCCTCCTAACTGGTGACTTGCCTTCGATCTTGGCATCCCCTAAAACTCTGATCGTAACATTTTATACTTAACTCAGTAGCTTCTCTTTATCTTCAGAATAAAGACCAAACTCCTTACTACAGCACAGAAGACCTTTTGTGGTTCTGTTCCTGCATTTCTCTAGCACTCCATGACATAATGTAGATGCCAGTCCTACCCAGCTGCCTGTCATTTCTAAACAAACCTCATCTGCAGCCAGAATGCCTCCCAGTCCTTAGTACTCGATTCCAAGAAGCCTTTCCTGAACTTCTCACACCACCAAGTTTATTTTCACACCGCTTCTCTGTAAGCCCTGAGCATCCTGCTCACATTATTTTGATAAGCAGTGTTCAGTTTGGTCACTGACAATTTCTCTCTGCAGGTTCACTATGGGTCCAAACGGTGCATTGTGCCCTATACATCTTTATTCCCTATCTCACTGTCTTCCAAAGTTTTAATTCACACTCCCCAAAGTAGAAAGCTTTGCCAAATTCACCTGCCAACTGTGCTGTTACCTATTTAATATTTTGATTTAGAATAACTCAACTTTCAACTTAGATATAAACTTGTTTTAATAGAAAATTTGTTATCACCAAGAAATCTTATGTTAGGACAGAATTTTTTACCTGATACAAACTAAAATGAACATATTACAAAAATTTAATGCAAATGTAAAAGACTTCTGATCCCATCTGTTATGATGAAGCAAAGGGGCGTTTCATGACTGCAGAACAAAGTGGATGCTAGATTTTTTTTAAATGTTACTGAGCTCACAGAAATAGGGAACATTTAAAGTCACTTTTTTCTCCCAAAGCAACAAACCTCTATTTAGAAACTAAACCTGACAGTCAAGATGACAAGAACAACATGGGACACAGAGCCATGGGCCAGGAGCAAAGTGAGAGACTAAAAGGGGATCCCACGGACAGCTCACAGCCAACGCTGGCACAAGCCCTATCAGAAGGAAAGTATCCCAACTCAGACTCTCAGAATTCCCACAGAGAAAGAGCAGTCAAGGAAGAGCTCATAACTGAGAATCTCCAAGCACAGGAGGTGACAACCCACTGTGAGGGAGATAACGGAAAAAACAAGCAGTAATTTAGATCCCTAAGTACATCAGACATGGGAGTCACCAGTCTACAGAATATCTACAGATTTCAAAAAATGAGCAAGCGACAGGAGATTTTAAAAAATGACTGGGTATAGCTAAAAAGAATGGAGTGATACTTTTAGAAATTAAAAGTATAATTGTTAAAAATAAATAAAATAGATGGATCAAAGAGATGATTAGGCACTGTCAAGAAAACTGACAAAAAAGAACGTGCCTGATGAAATTATCCAGCATTTTAAGTTCTGGCAAAGACACAAGGAAGTTAAAAATATAAAAGATGAAAAATAAGTGATCTGGAAACACACACATACATACATATATCCACTTAAATCTTTGGAAGGAGAAAGTAGATAAAATCAAAGAGAAAATGTTTAAAGAACACATGGCTCAGAATCTTCTAGACTTCATGAAAAACAGTATTCTGAATCAGGAAACACATGTATCCAAAACAGGATAAATAAAAAGTAATCACTATCTAGACTCAGAAGTAAAGGTGTCATGCCAAAGACAAAATTCAATGCAATTAGAAGAAAAATAATATTTTCTTCAAATTACCATAAATAAAACTGGTAGCAGACTTTGCAAGTAGAATAACATCTTTGCACATGAACAGAAGGCAAAGCATCAACCTAAGAACTGTATACCTATCAAAATTCTCTCTCAAGAACAAGGGTAAAATAAAACTAATTTCAGATTTTAAAAAAAGAGCTGACCACCAAGAGACTTGAACTAACTTCTAAAAATACCAATTAAAAATCATAAACTATCTGACTGTATTTAAAAAAAAAAATCTAGTAATACATTCTTAAGAGACACCTAAAATATAAGGACATAAAAAAGGTGACAGGAAAATGAAGAAAAAGGTTAATCCATGTAAACTACCACAAAAAAAAAAAAAGGGAGGACAGACAAAACAGACCCTAAGACAAAAAACAAAATCAGGCATAGGGAGAACCACAACATAACAGAAAAGCGTCAACCCACTAGGAAAACAATGCCTAGCTTGCATGTATCTGATAAAATAGTCTCAAAATACATAGAAGAAAAACTGTTAGAACTACAGAGAGTCTGTAAGAAGGTTACAGCAGAAGATTGAAACACATTTCTCTCATGCTGCTGCTGCTAAGTCACTTCAGTCGTGTCCGACTCTGTGCGACCCCAGAGACAGCAGCCTACCAGGCTCCCCCATCCCTGGGATTCTCCAATCAAGAACACTGGAGTGGGTTGCCATTTCCTTCTCCAATGCATGCAAGTGAAAAGTGAAAGTGAAGTCGCTCAGTCGTGTCCGACTCTTAGCGACCCCATGGACTGTAGCCTACCAGGCTCCTCCATCCATGGGATTTTCCAGGCAAGAGTACTGGAGTGGGGTGCCATTGCCTTCTCCATCTCACATGCTAGGTCAAACAAATGAAAATTAATACAGACAACCAGAAACACAATTTTTAAGTTTGATCTAACAGATACATAACTAGAGGAATATAATCTCTTCACAAGCACACACAGAACAATTATAATTCCCTATGTACAAAGCAATAAAGGACAAACAAATGTTTTAAGAAAAACACACTACATTCTCTGACAACACAATTAAGAAATGAACAGTAAAAAGGAAAATGAAGAAATATTTGGAAATTTTAAAACACATATTTTAAAGAAAACTCTCAAACGCGTAAATCAAAGAAGAAATCAAAATAGAAATTTTAATTTTGTTTAAATTTATTTAAACCATATTATGTAAAGCAAACATGAACTTTGAGGAATTTTATAGCTTTACCTGCTCATGGCAGAAAACAGGAATGGCTGAAAAGTAGTAAGCTAATCATGCAGTTTAGGTTAGAAAATAATAAAGAATTCAAAGAAAATTTTCTTTATCAACAGTTTAGAACAATCTTCATATTTTTATCAATTAAAAATAAAGTGTGACTCTGGTGAGGATTATATCAATAAATATTTGCATGCTCAAAATAAATAAACTAAAAGGAAAAGGAAATCATAAGGGAGAAAAAGATTAAAAATATAATAAAACACAGTATTAACAGACCAAAAATTCATCCTCTGCCAAGATTAAATAAAATAGATAAACTTCTGGCAAAATTAATGAAAAAAGTCACATACAAATAACATCCAATATGAGAAAGGGAAGATAACTACAAATAAAAGATTAAAATGGGAATTAAGACGGTATCATGAACCTGATAAAAATAAATTTGTTGAAGGAACAAATTTCTAAAATTTACCACACTGTAAATCAACTATATTCCAACAAAAAATTAATTTAAAAAATAAAATTTACAAAACTCACTAAAAGAAACCAAAAAGCTGAAGTCCTACTACTATTCAATTGCTAATTACTACTAACTAACTTGTCAACAATTTACAATCCTTCCACACAAAAAATTAGATCCAAATGATCTCACAGGTAAATGCCACCAAGTTTTTAAGAAATAAATCACTTCAATTCAAACTGTCCAGAGAACAGAAAAAAAATGAATCACTCTAACTGGCATAAAGCAGTGTAACCTGAACACCAAAATCAGACAAGTAGTCAATTTAAAAAATGACAGGTGATTTCATTCATGAACAGATGCAAAAATCTAAATAAAATACTAGCAAACTTCATCGAGTTCACAAAAGGACCCATCAAGGTCTACTTGCATCTATCTTAGGAACAAATATAAGAGAGAATTAAGAATTTTTAAATATATAAATTGGAACCATTACACTTAGTGTATTAAAAGAGAAAATCCACAAGATACTGTCAACAGATGCAGAAAAGCATGTGACAAAATAGGCAAATGACGATTTCCCTAACTTAGTAAAGAGTGTCTACAGAGACTCAAACAAACATTTTTAAGGGGAAAACATTATTTTTGAAATCAGGAACAAAACATGTATTTTCACAATAATCACACGTATGCTCACTATAAATAACTTCTAATGAATAACCATAATCACATCCATCAAACAAAGATCTAGAAGTGTGCCAGCATAATAAGGAAAGAAAAAAAAAAAATTAAGGAAAACTAATTGGAAAGGAGGACCAAAAGTGTCACTATTTGCAAGTGATATAATTATCCACATAGAAAACCCAAAAGGATTATAGAAAATATATCAGAATAAGTGTTTATCAAGTGGATGAGTAAGATCAATGTAAAAAATCCATAAATTTCTATTAACAATAAACAGGAAATAGAATCTAAAAAGAATCATCTGTAACAGCAACTAAACTCCTAGAAACATCAGAATCAACATTTAAAAACTGTTAGATCTATAAGGGAAAATTCACAAAACTGTATCAAAAGCCATTAGAAACCTAAATAAATGCAAATACATACCCCAAAATCTTAAAGATTTCAAATCTCTCCAAACTGATTTTAATCATTCTAATTCGTGCCCAAAGAGCTTTTTCTGTCATATGACAAGCTGATTCTTACAAGAACAGCTAAGACTCAAGTGGCTCCCCAGGCATCTAGATGTCAGGTAAAACTACAGCGTTAATAATCATGACAGGGTGCTAGCAACAGATAGACAGGTGGACAAGTGGTACAGAAAGGAGAGCCAGAAACAGATCCATGCATATAGAAACTAAACATGCAAAAAAGGTGGTTCAGCAGATCATTGGTGAACAGAGAGCCAATTTAATACATGGTATGTGGTCAACTGTAGCCACATGGAGGGAAAAATGAATGTGGATCATTAACTCACACCATATACAAAAATCAGTACCAGATGGATTACCAACTTAAATGTGAAAGGAATCATTTTAAAATTTTTAAACAGAAACACAGGAGAACATCTTTATGATCCCAGGGTAGGGTAAATTTCCAATTAGATTACATTAAAATTAAGAACTTTTGTTCACCAAAACACACCACAAAGTGCAAACAGACCGACCATGAACTGGAATAAGATATTTACAATGTTTATACTCAATAAATGATTAGTTACCTATTACAGTTTTAAAAGAGAGCCCAACAGAAAAGTGGGTAAGAGATATGACCAGGTATTTGTGTGTTTGTGTGTGAATGACCTATTTCCTTTTTGTGAACAAAGGGGAGATAGATGGTACACAAAGAAAAAGATGTTCAAAGTTATTAACAATCAATAAATGCACATTAAAACCACAATGCACATTTCATATTCATTTGGCAAATATTAAGAAGTTTGACAAGTAACAAGTGTTGCAAAGGATAGAGATCAACCGTAACTCTTAACACAAAGCTAATCAAAGTATATAAATTGACAAAACAGCTGACCAAAGCTTAAGCTGGTACAACCACTTCAGAAAACAATTTGGTATCATTTTATAGTTGAACATTCATACCCATAGTCCAGCAATTCCACTTCTAGTAAATAGCTTGCCACAGTGGTATTTCAACATTCTTTTTACTCATGAACCACAATAAATGCTATTAAATATTACACTCATATTTTAAAAATGACATCTAAAAAATTTCAGTTCTAAGTTTAATTGCAAAGGATGAATCGCTAGAGTATCACAGTGACATTTTAAAATAACACTGACATATCACTGGTTTAAAATGCTGTAAATATTATAGCATAGAGTTCATCAAAAGATAATTAGTGTATATACTGACGTGTATGTGTGTGTGCACTCTTAAGTCACTTCAGTTGTGTGCCACTCTTTGTGACCCCATGGATGGTAGCCCACCAGGCTCCTCTGTCCACGGGATTCTCCAGGCAAGAATACTAGAGTGAGTTGCCATGCCCTCCTCCAGAGGATATTCCCTGCCCAGGGTTTGAACCTGTGTCTCTTACACCTCCAACATTGGCAGATAGATTCTTTACCACCAGCACCACCTGGGAAAACCTACATATGTTGATATTAAACATAAAAGTTACAGTTTATTGGAAATGCAGCTCTTGAGGAGATGGAAAATGTCTGCATTAAAAGGAAGTGTTCCCTAACACTACAGCTGCATGTATTTTAAATTATCCTTTTGTACCATTGAGAGTTTTTCAATTGGGACATTACCCTGGTAAGATTCCAGGCAAGTAGATGGTATGCCTTCCTAATTTAAGGCAGAAATGCTACTCTGAAGGGGGAGGTGGGCAAATAGAACCAAGAGGAAGTTTCCATCACAGGCTTCAGGCATTACCAATTTTAGGAAAGGATACACGTGGAATTTAATGATCTACCAATTGATTCATTAATATCACTTGTGCCCAAATACTCCTCAGAAAATCTTTATTTCTTCCCTGGAAGGCATATATCCCAGTGTGAAAAGTAGAGAAATTCTTGCAACTGTGTACCAGAAGATATATATAAGAATCTTCAAAACAGCAAAACCTAGAAACAACCGAAATGTTCATCAATAGAAGAATGCATACACTGTGTTATATTCTCCAACAGAATATTACACAGCCATGAAAATTAATGACATGCCTATCTGAATATCAGTGACTCTCAAAAACATAACATTGAGTGAAATAAGCCAGCCCAACAAACTGTATCCAGTATTCTTTTTTTTAAATTAAAAAACAATAGAGACCATACAATATACTGTTGAGGGATATACACATATTTGATAAAATCATTTTTAAAATACAAGGAATGACACAATTCAATAGTAGTCACCCTGGGGATGGTAACATTCAAAATCGTCATTTTGATTCTTGGATTGAGTGGTGGGTTGAGAGGAGTTCATTTTACTGTTTTGCTTCACAACTTGCATATATGTCACATATATTTTGAAAGCATTAAGTATAAGTAGTACATTAAAGAGGGAAAAAGATTTTTAAAAATCCATTCATCATATGCAAAAAAGTAATTAAATCACCTCACCTGCCACTAGAGAGGTACATCTAACATACCATGGAAATCTTTATCTTACATCAACCATAGGAAGTACATTAGGTACAAAATAAATGTTCACTGCAATTAACTTTATGAGAACCGAATGAGATAAAAGCTTGAGTCAGCTGTGATAGAGGAACCCATAGGCTTCACACAGGGCTAGAGCAGAAGCCAAGGTAAGCAAATTTAGCTGCAAGTTAAAGTTACAAGCAAGCTGGTCAGTAAATAAAAGGCAAAAATGTAACTCAGGTAACATAAAGGGTTTAGCAAGAGTGTGAGGAAATAGGTG